GCGGGCCGCGGTCTACTGTGCCGGCGGCTGAGGGCCGCCCGCCGCGCGGCGTCGCCTGTGGCGTTGCGGTCATTGTGTCGTGACGGTGACGCCGGTAGTGGTTTCCGCGACAGCGGGTGCGGCTGCTTGAGCCCGGCCTGGGCTCCGCGGCCGCCTGGGGGTCTCAGCAGCGCCCACCCTTTCTCCTCCAGGACCCCACGCCAGCAGCGACCCTGAGCCGACAGCCGGAGCGACCGGCAATGGCGGCCTCGACGGCCTCGCACCGGCCCATCAAGGGAATCCTGAAGAACAAGACTTCTGCGGCTTCCCAGGTGGTGGCCTCGGCCGAACAGCCCCGCCGAAGTGTCGAAGAGGAGCTGAGGTGAGAAGCCGGGAGACCGGCCAGGAAGTCGCTCCTTCTCGGCGGACGGGCGGCCGCGGGGAGCCAACCTCGGCCCTGCCCCTCCGGCCGCGGGGTGGAGCGGGGCCGGAGCCGGCACGGGCTCCGTCGGCCGAGGTGGCGTTTGCCGTGTTTTATTTGTTAGGTACATGTGTACATTTTAAACCTGGCTTTTGAACTTGGTGCCCCTGATTCTTTAGAATCAAATTGAAGTTTCAAAGCTTTAGCTGTCAAGTTTTTATTGTTCGTTACCCTAAGCCAAGGTAGCTAAAATATTGCGGCAGAGGAGTTGCTTTCTTGCCCTTAAATTTCAGTCTAGGTTCAGGCTAGTGAGATGAAAATTAAAACACACACAAACCCCATTCAGCATCTTCCTGCATCCTCCCAGTTCCTGGTTTGTCATCTCCGCACTAAGTGAAACCAAACTTTTAAAGTCACTGATCTGTATTTAATGGGAAGTTATTATATTTTTGTACCTGAAGCTAGAGTTTTGGTGTTTTCTATTTGGGGTCCTGTCCCGTGTTTCTAAAGCTCTTCAGAGAGAAGCAACTTAAGATTTTGACATAAAGCATTGTGTGTAATAGTAAATAACTGGACACCACCCAAGCTCCATTAGTGAGAACTGGTGAAATATTAATTATGGTACACTTGTATAATGGAACAATATACTGGCCTGAAAAGAGGTGTTTTGACTACAAAGAAGGCTACCAAGGGTTCAGTGCTCAATGAAAATAATGTACAGTATGGTGTCTAAGATATAACTGTACCACTGGGTCAGGCAGTAAGGGGGCTTAGATACTATGAGTTACTAAAAATAGAAGAACTCTTGCATTCGGAAATAAAGCTTTAGGAGAGTCACTGAAATTTGTAGTAGTAGCATTAAATGAGGATGCTGATGAAATCTATTAGAACTAGGGCATTCCTATATTAAGGATCTAATTTAGAGTCTTAAGAGTAACTAGCTGGAAACAAATTTAGGGAAATTTGAAGAAAGTCCCTTGTGTGAGTTCAGCTTAGAATTGTGGCCTGCAGACACTAGAAAGGGACTTAGCCTTGCTGGACAACGCCCCCACCTCATTCTTTTGGTTTGACTCTTAACCTTCCTTCTCAAGTTTTCAACCTCTGCTTGGAGTAAGCTGCTTTAAAGGGATTTGACAGTGGTTGTAGGTCAGGAGAAAAACAGAATGCCAGAACATAACAATACCAAGAAGATCAAAATGTTTAAAAATACCTACAGAAGGCATCTCCACAGCCTGATTATTAAGCAGCAGGATTCTCATTGACTTTTATGTTATCCAGGTGAGCTTTTTTCCGACCGCCAAGTGTCTTTTTCTGCCTGCTTAATGTCCATGCATTCTCAAATGTGATGTGCTGTAATCTAAAGCACGGTATTAGAGGTTTGCCTCCCCTGACTCCCATGGTTGCCTGAGATTTACATTCAGATTTTTTTTCCTTGATGCCACTAAATGGGACTGGATCCATTAGACAAATCGCTTCTTCTGAAAGAGTTCCTGGCAGGGCAGATTGATTTAAAAAGGGTTTCATAAGCTAGTTGACTGATTGCATTGACTGTAGTTGTAGCCATATAGCAAGCCCTACCAAACTCTAATTCATTGAAGTTCATGGTGTATGGTTCCAACTGGTAAAAGATAAGCCTTTTCATAGTCCCTGTTGGAACATTGTAAAGTAAAGAAAAAAATTATAGAATTAAAACTGTTATTGTCACAATTCATGCAAGCAATATTAATAGAGCCTCTTTTAACAGAAATGATAATATTGTAGTTTGAATACATTTGAAACAAACTTTTTATGTTTATACTTAATTTAATTAAAATCAGTACCCCCAGTCTGATATATAAAAAGACTAAAAATAAGTGGCTCTTGCAATTATGATGTCCTTAGAATCCAGAAACAAAAGGTAGCATGCCAGTCTAACTGGAAATGGTAGAGCAGTGCATAACACAGATGGCCATCATATTAATGTGGAAACAGCCAGAACTCTAAGGGGATTGCTTTACTCTAGTAATTGTATTCTGTATTGCCCCATAGATGCTAAGCATTGTTGCAAGCCTTGAGTCCTTGATCCTAAGGGAAATAAGGGATTATGTCCTCTCAAGTCTCTGGTCATAAATTGTCATCATCTGATCATTACTTAACCTTGTTTTATGTGTTTCTACTTAAAGACACCATATTTAATATATAGTGTTTATTAATTGGCACTGAATTCATGGCCAGTAGCACTCACGCCTGGATGAAGTTTATCCATTGTAAGTCACAGCATGGCCTTCTTGCACTTAGGGACACTGGGCAACACTTGACATTCGGGAGCCACTCACCAACAGAAACAGAAACGTGCATGGCACTAAGTAGACCTCAGAATGCATACTTGTGGCTAGGATGTAACCCAGTGGTAAAGTGTTTTCCTCACATATACAAGAACCTGAGTTTGATCCCCAGCATGGAAACAGAAGAGAAAGAAAGGAAGGCACATGGTTGTATGAACAGCAGACCATGTGATGTACGTGTATCAAAAGGTCAATGAAACTCGTCCTTTTGTACAAGGAGTTCAGGAATATATGTTAGTAATTAGTAAAATCAAAGAAGACTTATACGGTATGAGAACTGAAAGCAACAAGCAGAGCCTTGCCATATTTGGCCGCAGCTGGCAACACGTTCTGTGGACAATTCAAAGTTTTCCTACTCTGCTGCTGTCTTGACCATCCAGTAAACCACCCTCACTATTGTTTAGATTTAGTAAGGAAATTCCCAGATAGAAAGCCTGCAAGTAAGTGTGAAGCCTACCTTTTTTACATGCTTTTATCGTGTCCAATGCAATTGCTTCATCACTATCCCTCTCATCTGCCCCCAGTTACTGAAGGGTGTTACCTTATATAGGAGTAATTACTGACAGTTTTTCAAGTGCACTTCAAATATTGCCATAATTCATGCATACTATTGGTTGTATTTCTTAAAATGAATGTAGGGGCTAAGGAAGATGGCTTAGTGGATAAAACATTTTGCTGTGCAAGTGTGAGGACCTATGTTTGAATCCCTAGAACCCATGTAAGAAGACAGGATAACATGCTCACCTGTAATCCCAGTGCTTACTGCTTACGTAGGGTAATGGGAGGCAGAGACAGGAGAACCCTTGGGTTCCCAAACGCTTGAGCCTCAGCTAACCTGGCACACTCTGAAGAAAAGAAATAAGGATGCAGTCTCAAGGAAGGCAAGAACTGCACCCAAGGTTGTCCTCTGAACACATACGCACACATGCACATACTCACAGTTTTTTTTAAAAAGGATAATGTATAGGTAAAGGGAGGTTTGTAAATTTTGCATTGATATTTCAAAGCTCTGGTAAATTCATCTTTTAAAATAGTCTTTGGTATTTTGATTGATTTTAATTGAGTTCTTTTCAAGACTGATAAATCAGTATTTGTAAATTTGTTAAGATTTTATGCTCTAACTCAGGTTACCTCTGACATTGCAGTTCCCCTTCCTTACCCCAGAGACACAGAACAGGTATGCACCAGCATATCGGGCAGGTGTCCCCAGTGCTTGTTCTGAGTGAATTATTAGCTATTAGTTCCTGTGAGTCGTAACATTTGCCAGATATTAGTTTTAGGGGATTAATTAAAATGGATACACTCCACAGTTTCACATATTTAGGCAAGTTAAGTACAGCACATTGCAACATGGTACCTCCATTGCTCAACTGTTTTGAAAACCAGTGTCCTCTCCTGGGTTTGTGGAGTTCCCAAAATTGTTTCAGGATACCTCCAATGTAGTGCACATCTTACAAAGGCTAACGTCTAGAGCTAATGAAATTAGATCAGTTCATTGAAAACATTGCCCCATTGATTCAAAGAAACTACCACCAGAAAAAGAAAAAAGAATCCTATGATTATAAGGTGCTATTCATTTTAAGGTATATTCTTTTTCAGATATGAGTGAAAGTGATTGTTTACAGTTATTAAAAGTATGTTAAATGTTACTAAATCCTATTTTAGGGAGAAATTGTAGTGTAGTGCTTAATCTGAATCCTGTCTGCTACTAGTCACTGATTTTATTAGTTCTGACTGTCAATGAATTACCCATTTTAATCTATAGATTGTACATCTTAAATGAGTTAAAATGCTCAGCCCAGGACCTTACTCTTAACTTTGTTGTTATAGAAATGTAGAAATCTAATTGTTCACGCGTCTCAGATTCCTTTACGTAGTCTGCTAGCCACCTCAATCCAGATTCTGTTGGTAGTTTTTTATCTGGTAAATTCAGCTTTTTAAAATTGTGTTTGAGGGAGGGATAGTGAACCACACAATCTCAGTACTTGAGAGGTGGAGAGGTACAAGGAATGAGAGTTCGGGGTCAGCCTTGGCTACGTACTCAGTTCAAGGCCAGTCTATGCTATGTGAACCCCCTACACCCCAAGGTGCTGAATTCCATTTTGTCTCCTTAAGTATGTGGAGTGTTAAAGTCAAAACTAAAATTAAAAGGTTATTTTCCAAAAGTTGCCTTTTGTTTGCTTCTGCTTGCTTTATTGTTAAGTCTTAGTTTAACTTAAGTTGTGGTATCAGGCTTCAAAGTCTTGAATCTTTTCTAAAAACAACAAAAAAACAACAACAGAAAAAAATCAAACCAAAAAACCTGTTTATTGAAATGTGAAATTAAAGTTTAATACTTTGAAGCAAAACCTGGCTTGCCACTCTGAGAGCAGTGGAAAGTATCAAACAAGCAAGCAGAAACAAGAAGTACTGGGAGACCTTTGAGATGGCAACATTTGAACTACCCAAGTGAAAGAAGTAACTTTTACAGAACAAGATGTAAACAGTCTGCAGCAGTTTGGTCACCTGTGGGAAGGGTGAAACCGGAACCAGCAAGTTTGGCTATCACAGCAGATCTGCCATGACCTGGTACATTTTTATCTTTGGAATTTCTGACAGAAAATGGCTTATAGTTGAATTCAGGCTGCTCCTTGAGTTTTTAGACACTGCCACTGATATTAATTCCACTGAAACCTTAGGAATGCTAATTTCCATATCCACTGTCTCTATTGACAGTTCTTCTCTTCACCTAAGAGAAGAACTTTTTCTAAGTTCTTTTTACCTAAGAATTCTTAGCGATTTTTTGAGTCTGTTTCACTTTCTTTTTGTTTATTTGTTTTTGTTTTTCAAGACAGGGTTTCTCTGTATAACAGCCCTAACTTTCCTAGAACTATAGCTCCATAGACCAGGCTGACCTCGAACTCACAGAGATTGCCTGCCTCTGCCTCCTGAGTGCTGGGATTTAAAGGCTTATGCCATCACTGCCTGGCCCCTGTTTTACGTTCTTAATTTTAGTGTCTTCCCTTTAACTTCAAGATAATCTTTCTTGGATTTGAACTTGAAAATTTCTAAAAATTTCTTTTCCTCTTAATTTTGTACTGAGGAAATGAAGGTTAGTACAGCTTTAAATATGTAAGACTTTAAATTCCATTTACAGTAAAGCATGATAAATGGAGAGCAGACAAGAAAAAGTCGGGATTCAGATTTATTGTAGTTGCAGATCAGGTAAATTCAGCTTTCATGTATAATGTGCTTTTGCTAATCTGAAGAACTTGGATTTGCTGTGCAAAGGCTGCAAACAATTCATAGAAGTAAAGTAAGCATTTGTCATGTTACCTATTAGATAATGCGCGATAAGAAAAAATTAGCTTTAAACATTACTTAATACTCTGTAAGTTAGAAAAGCACAAATAACCAGTCTTAGAAATGTCTTGGCAACAATTGGTGACATTATAAATGGTCTTTGTTTTGTTTGTTTGTTGGATATTTTGTTCTTTGCTTTTGTTTTTGTTTTTTCTTTTTGGCTTGGTTTGGTTTTCGTTTTCGTTTTTCAAGATAAGGTTTCTCTATGTAGCCCTGGCTGCCCTGGAATTAGCTCTATGGACCAGGCTGACTTGAACTCAGAGAGATTTGCCTGCCTCTGCCTCCTGCTAAATTCTGGGATTAAAGACATGGGCCACCACCATCCCACAGAAGTGGTCCTAAAATTTTTTTTTGGGTGCCAACTACAGTGGCCCATACCTAGAATCGTGGCTGTTTGGAAGGCTGACATAGGAGGATCACTTGAATCTGTAGACTATTGTGGATTGCACGGTAAGAACCTATCTAAAGAGAAAAGGATTATTTTAGCAAATTATCCTAAAATCATCAGCAAATAGAATGTATGAAAATGCTGTCTCTGCATGTCTTAGATTAGTGCATAGTGTTAGATTAGATTACATTTAAATATCTAACATTAGTTAACTTATATCAAATGTTCTATTTAGTTATTAAGGCAAAAAGACAAAAGTAGCTTATTTAATATAGTATATAGTTTATGTATTGGTGTATATATTTACATATTAATATATATTTTTATTTATGTATTATATTATTTAGTACATAGAGTGGAAAGAAAATGCAAAATTCCAAATTATTAATGTTAGTGTAGTGGGATTATACTTTTAAATTTTATTCTTAAATTTAAGAAATGCAATTTCTGCTTGTATTCTATGTTTTTCTTTCTGTCATCTTACAAAACAAATTTACAGGGTGTCGGTGTCTCTTCCCTCATATTAGAAATACTCTTTAAATGCCAAATATCCATCTAAATTGTATCTTTCTTTAAAAAATATGTGTATGGGTGTGTATAAGAGAGAAATAGAGAAGAGAGCTCATACCCACACTTGAGCATGCATATGCAAATAACAGTTTGCAGGAGTTCATTCTTGCCTTCTACCTTTTTGAAGTGCAAGGTCAGTTGCTCTTGCTTCTACAGACTAGTTCGGGAGACTCTCCTGTCTCCATGTCTTTACGTTACACTGGGACTACAGACACCTGCCACTGTCTCTTTTTACCTGGGTCTGGGCATTGAATTCAGATAGCTAGGCTTAAGAGGGCTAGTGTTTTACCTACTACTAAGCCATTTCCTTGGTTCCTTCTTTCTTTTTCTACCCATGTAAGATGATGTTATATGTAGTTCAGCATTAACATTTAGAAATTTAACATCATTTAGCATTGTTATCACCATTTGTTTTCTTTTGAGATTAGAAAGCATCCAGCTAAGTCATTAGTATTTTTAATATAGTTAATCATAATTCACATTCAGAAAACTGTATTAAATGTAAATTTAGAGCTTAATAAAATACTATACATGCTGGCAGTGGTCTTGCAGGCCTTTAATCCCAGCACTTGGGAGGCAGAGGCAGGTAGATCTTGTGAGTCCAGCCTGGTCCACAGAGCTAGTTCCAGAACAGCCAGGGCTATACAGAGAAACCCTCTCTCAAACAATGAAAAAGTAGTGTACTAGGGGCTAGGGAAATGGTTCAGTTTCTAAAGCACAAGCATGAGGAACTGAGGTCTGATCTCCAACTCCCATGAAAATGACATAGTAGTATGTGCCTGTTTTCATTGTGTTAAGGTGGACACAGGAAGGATTCCTGGAGCTTATTCTTAAAGCATAAATCAATTTCAATTCTTTTTCATTATTAGTATCAGAATTGTTTTTATGTTTTAAACCTTTTTAAATTAAAATTAGTTTAGATTTATTTAGTTTTGTTTTTCAAGTGTATGGGATTTTGCCTACATGTATATTTGTGTACCACATGTATGCCTGATGTGATTGGATTCCCTGAAAATGGAATTACAGTTGAGCCACCATGCTAAGAATAGAACCTGGGCCCTCTGAAAGAGCAGCAAGGCATCTCTGCAGCCCCTCTGTGATGCAACTTTCTTGGACTGCCAACCAGCTCCCAAATCTAGACATGGAGACTTATCAATTATGAAAGCTCAGCCTTATCTTATGCTTGTCCTACTAGCTCTTATAACTTAATTTAACCCATTTCTCTTCATCTACATTTTGTCTCAGGGCTTTTTACCTTTCATTTTGTCCTAATTTTCTTGCTTCCTCTGAGGCTGACTGGCTGGCCCAGGGCATAACCCTCTCCTGCCTATTGACTGATCAGCTTTTTATTAAGCCAATCAGGGGCTTAGGCAGACAAGGTGAAACAAATGCAACACATCTTTACATAGTTACACAGTGCAGCATAAACACATGTAACACCTTTACATAGAAGTATTCCACAACTATGTCTTAATTCTTTAAAAGTGTGTTTCTTTTCACTGTGAGCTTCCTTGGGATGTGTCCATGAACAGACTGAATTATTTGCTTTTTAAGCAAATAATATTTAATAATTTTTAAACAGATGTAGTAGCAGGCCAAAATAGAAGGCCTGCTTAATTGTTTTAAAGATATTTATTGCCATGCAACCCAGACAGCCCAAGTTCCTCCCACAAGTTTCATCCTTTAAGCTCACATAAAAGATGGAAGAGAGAACTGACTTTTTCAGCTTGTCCTCTAACCCCTCACCTACCCCCATTACATATGCACACAGCAATAATAATTTAAAGACAGGGTTTCTCTGTTTATCTCTGGCCATCGTGGAACTCACCTTGTAGACCAGTCTGGCTTTGAATTCACAGATTTCCCTGCCTCTGCCTCGAGTGCTAGGATTAAAGGTGTGCGCTGCCACCACCCGGCTCCAGCCAAATATTTTTAAAAATTGAGTCTTGTTATAGGAGAAAGGTGGATGAAACTGAGCATGAAAGCAATTGAAACTTCTTTTTAAAACTCATTCTCTACTATGACAAGTGAAATTGAAAATTTGTTTTAGAATTTTTAACCAAAGATTTTAAATTTTAAAATCATAAATGTTATTTTTACTTTGTGGATGTGTTTGCTTGCCTGTGTGTGTACTGCATGCAGTGCCCTTGGAGGCCCGAAGACTGTGTTGATCCTCTGGAACTGGAGTTAAAGATGGTTGTGAGCCTCCACGGGTATAATGGGAGCTGAAACCTGGGTCCTCCACAAGAACAACTGCTCTTAATTACTGAGTCGTCTCTTGAGCCCTGTTCCATATCTTAAATATTGTTTATATTTCATGCTGTTTTGTAATTTTTTTCATGGATATAATTTCAGTTGCCTTTGTGTGTTAGGTGGTGGGGCTGATTGCAAGTAAATAACTTAGTGCCACAGGGTGCACACTCATAATTTATTAAAACTGTATTTTGTACATTTTATCACAGTGAAAATGTAATATTCTTAATCTGAAGGTTAGAAAATAAGAGACCATGAAGTTAGACTCACCTGCATGTAGACATGTACGATTTTTTTTGTTGTTAGTTTGTTTTTGTTTTTTGAGACAGAACTTCTCAGTGTATCAGTCCTTGCTGTTTTTAATATGTTTACTAAATGCTTTTTTTTCCCTTTTTAATTTCAGTAAAAAGTCCCAGAAGTGGGATGAAATGAACATCCTGGCAACATATCATCCAGCTGACAAAGACTATGGTTTGATGAAAATAGATGAGCCAAACACTCCTTATCACAAGTAATATAACGTAGACATATTATCTTTTGTGGCTTGTTTCCATTTGCATTGATATAATTTCTGAGTAACAGAAACTTTAAATCTGTTTTATATTTCTCTCTGTCTCTGTGTGTGTGTGTGTGTGTGTATGTGTGTGTGTGTGTTTGGAGAAATATTTTTTTCATGATTAATTTTTTTTATTTTACATACTAACTACAGTTTCCCCTCCCTCCTCTCCTTTTGTTCCCTCTCGCACCTCCCCACCCACGCACTTCTCCTCCATCTCGATTCAGAAGGGGTTTTATATTTCATGCCAGAGTGCTGGCTAATGGTCTGCCTGAATACATTTTTGTTAATAGTGTGTAACTTCACATTATTGTTGTAGTGGTGAATAAATATTGCACCTGGGTGGTGGCTAGCTGCTGGTACACACAAATAAGTGAGCTTTGTCTTCTTTTTCATTGCTGTGATTTTTATTTGTGTGTATGTATATATGATGTGTGGAAGTACGGAGGAGGCCACAAGCTCAAGTTAGGTCTCGTGGAGCTGGAGTGGAGGTGGTGTGAGCGCTGAGACTCCATCTCATGTCCTGGCAGCAGCAAGTGCTTTCGACTGCTGAACCATCTTTCCAGCTCCAAATGTTGAAAGGAAGATGAGATTTGAGGGGTTTTTTGTTCCCCAAGTAGAAATCGGAGCCTTTCTTTGCATAAAAAAGAAAGCTACATGGAAGACAGATAGTTTTGTATTCTTTTGTATGATGTTGTAGTTTTGATAGTATGGATTTGGCAATTATAAATCTCAGAATTTTTATTTTTTTATTTTAAGATATGATCACACATTGTATTTCAGGCTGGCTTAGAATTTACCATATAGCTCAAGCTGGCCTTGAAGCCAGAGTAGTTCCCTGAGTGCTGAGATTACAGGGTGTGAGCCATTAGGTCCAGTTAAAATTTTAAAATATAATTGTGAAGTGATATTGTAAGCAGTATCCAAAAAGAGACAAAAATAATGCAATAATAAGCATTATGAGACAATACAGATTCTAAATAAGTAGAACACTTAAGATTAGGACTTAATCTGTATTGAAAAATATTTTCAAAGATTTGTTTTTTAATCAAAGTAAGACCAAGTAAATCTGTAAGTCATGTGCTTTTTTTTTTTTTTTTTGCCTGCCTCTAGCTCCCAAGTGCTGGGATTCAAGGCGTGCACCACCACCGTCAGCCAAGTCATGTGGCTGGGTTTCATGAAACCTAGGCTAGACTTGAACTTACTGAGGAAGATTTTGATTTTCTGATTCTCCTGCCTATATCCGTAGTACTGGAATTACAGGACTATGCCCAGTTTATGTGTTCTCATGGATTAAACTCAGAGCTTTGTGAATGTCAGATGTGAGTTTCATCAACGAAAATGCTATCTTTTAAATGAACAGGACTTAGGGAGATAATGTGATGCTAACAGAAACAACTCAATACACATAAAATACACATAAAAATGTTAAAAATCTGTGACAGAAAGAAATAGTGAAACAGAAGATACCGATAATAAAACTAAATAGTAATGAATTCCAGAAAGTTCATACCCCTTCATTAAACCAAATCCAAAGTTGGGATTTTGTTCCTTTTCAATAAAGCGGGTAGCCACCCCTCACCAAGGATAGCTGTCCTAAAATAACTCAGATCAGACATGAGAGGATTGGGTGGCTTTTTGTTGTTGTTTTTGTTTTTTCCTGATAACATTTAAAATGTAGTCAAATCTGAATGGTAGACGTTTCATTTTGTTCTTCCATACCCATATATCCTTATTGTAGAGCTGCAAAAATGTAGCTTGGTCACTAACAGGCTTGTCTATGCATAGCGTAGTTAGCTTTTATCAATTCAACACTCAGTGCTCCCGTTACTTCCATGAGATTGGTTTTTTGTTTGTTTGTTTGTTTTGTTTAACAACAATAACAAAAATGTTTTTTTTTAAAAAGATCATTTTAAACTAAAAATCTCATTGTTGGTTTATATTCTTTTATATATACACACAATTCATTTGTAACCCATAATTTTCTGTTGAACATTGCTACAAGTCAACAAATTATATTTCTTATATTCTACTCTACTTAAATATTAAATGTTTGTGGGTTTATTTCATGTTTCCTTGGATAAATGTATAACCAGCAGGTTTTTATTCACTAGGTGTCTAGAGTCTGTATTAGTTTGCTTTCTTGTTGCTTTGACCAAGTAACTGGCAGAAGAGAACTCGTGAGGGGTGATTTCCATTTCTGTTGACTCAGGGCTCCAAAGGATCTTGGTGTCTGTCCGCGGTAGCTTGATCCCATGCACTTGGGGTAGAACATCATTAGAGGGAATGTGTAGTAGAGAATTTAAAAATTCTTTTTATATTTTTTGAGAATTTTATATATTTTGATCATATTCTTTCCTCCCCTTAATTTCTTCCAGATTCTCCCCCTCCATTCACCAAGTTCATGTTCTTTCTTTTAAAAAAAAAATCAATGAAGTCAGTGACTTTTTTCCCCGCAACTAGGTCCTACCTCCTGCCTTGCACAAATTTCTACAAATGCTATCCTGAATCCTTCAAAGACTTAATCTGCATTTGATCAGAGCCTTCATGGTCTGATATTCTCTGAGAAAGTAATCACAGACTCCCTAGAGCTGAGCTTTACTGATTCCCTGGGCACTTTTGTTGTTTTAATTGTTTTTTGTCTCATAGATTTGTTCATGTGTTGGCTGTTCAGTGAGATAGTTGGAGGGATACGAAAGAGCTACAGATGGGTGCCCCCCCCCCAATCTCAAGAGTAGAGGAGAAGCTTGTGTGCAGTGGGCATTCCTGAGTCTGTCTATCCTGCATTCTGCTTGGGAAGCTCTTTGGAGGGTTCCCACATAGGAGAGGCCACTTGGCTCGGTTTCTGTACATTTCTTAATCCAGCGAAGTAGGCAGCCAGAATTACCCACCATAGGATCTGTTTATTTTTCCTAGTCGTATGTCTGTGTAGACCATTTCTTCCTTAATGGTGATAAACACAAATTCTAAACCAGCTCAGCATTCCCACTGCCTAATTGTGATTCCAGTAGTCACAAATTTGGGGCCAGCTGGGCTGCACAGCAGGACTCTTCCCTCTCAAAATACTAAACCAACAAGTGGGTTATTTTGCACTATTTGTCCATCTGCCTCATTGGATAGAAAATTGACTTTTTTAGTTTTTTTTCCCCCGGATAATTTGAGTTTTCAGTTTTGTATGGTTGCTTTTTTTTCTTGTTAAGCTTATATTATCATTTTTTATGCTTGAGGATTGAACTCTGGGGCCTTATGCATGTCTGACAAAGACTCCACTGAGTTACATTCCCAGCCCAGTGACATGTATAGTAGAAACTATTTTAAAGTTAAATTTCAAAGATGACAACAAAGTTCTAAATAAATTGTTACTTTAATTAAATAAAATTGTGTTTTCAGTCTTGATTTTCTAGCTGTACAATTTTATTTCATGTATCAGTTTTAATAATGTGCTTGTTAATAGAAACATGCTTGTCATCCTAGTATGATAGGTGATGATGAAGATGCCTATAGTGACTCGGAAGGCAACGAAGTCATGACTCCAGATATCTTAGCTAAGAAGTAAGTACTAAAGCATTTCTGTAGGAAGTTTTAATTGTGCAAAGTCAAAGACATTTGCTGTGTTCTGCTTGTACATTTATAAACAAAAGACTAAGCTTACCTAGGTTTGGGTTTTTACTGACAATTGAACCCAGGGCTATGTAGTAAATATTTGCTTTACCACTGAGTAAGATTCCTAGCCCCTAACTAGATTTTTATAGCAATTATTGCAATCTTGTTTCTTGATTAATATCAATCTAAACAGGAGGTGGCAAGGTTAAAGTGCCTGACCCTGTGGATACTTCAGTCTCTTTATATCCCGTCACCTACATGGTAAAGATATGAGAAAAACAAACATAAGTTCCTGTTGTTCACTGATTTCTAGCACCTACCCTGCTGTCCTTGTTGCTTATATCCATCCCTACTTTTCCTTTTGCTTTCTTCATCACTTATAGCTAGAATAGTTATTTATAATTTTGGAGTATATTCATGACTCAAGTTGAATGAGACATTTAAATAGTACAAGTCACAGTTACTAATTTCTTCATTAATATTTTATAGATTAGCTGCTGCTGAAGGCTCAGAGCCAAAGTATCGGGCTCGGGAACAAGAAAGCAGTGGAGAGGAAGATAATGACCTCTCCCCTGAAGAGCGAGGTAGGTAATTCCTGCAGCTGCCTTCAGTATGATGCTAATAATTTTTGTGAAAATAAATGTATTTGAAGATTGGAAAATTACTTGCATAGTTAGGAAGTGGTGGGCAGGAAGCAAAAAGCAATAAAAATAGAACCTGTAATTCAGATTCTACATATGTGCATTTTTCATGTAATAGTATTGCCCCCTTGATTAAAATAAGGTGGAAGAAATACTACTGTCGTCCAAGTATTTGCAGGTATTCCTTTCATTTGTATTTTTTAGTGCCCGATAAAAAGAAAGATACTGAGTAACTACTTATGAAATTAATTATTTTAGTGTCGTTGTATTTGAATGATCTTCAAGTGGATAGATTGCCTCGTTTGTTCCTTTTCTGTTTTAAGATAGTAGTAATGCAGGGCTGGGGATGTGGTTTAGTTTGGAGAGTGCTTAAATAGCATGCACAGAGCCCTGATTTTGAGCCTTGGCACAAATGAACTGTTTGTGTTGTCTATAATAACAAAACTAGAGAGGTAAAGGCAGAAGTGCAGAACCTCGTTCTGTAGTACATGTATGGTCATCCTGAGCTACTTGAGATCCTGTGTTGAAGAAAAAAAAGACAGTGAAATTTATCCAGAGAACCAAGATGATAAAATATAGAATGAAAATTGTATAGGTCTCGTGGAGCACAGAGTAGTGATGACTTAGAAGAGAAGCTAAAGAAGCCCTCATTGCAGGATGGAAGAGGCTCTTGTGCTCAAGACAGAACATGTGTAGTTAAGGCAGTACTGCCTTTGTGTGTTTTGTTTGCATGGAACACTGGTCAGATAGGAATATGTTTTATCTTACTGTTTTTTATACTTTTTGAACCATGTGAAAGTATTATTTTTTTCAAGATAAAATTGGGCTGGAGAGATGGTTCAGTGGTAAAGTATGTGTACTGTTTTTCCAGGGGACCAGAGTTGAGCAACTATGTCAGATGGGTCACAACTGCCTTTAACTTTAGCCTTGGGCACACAAACACAATTTAAAAAATAAATATTTTTAGTTTATGTAAAAGAATATAAAATGCCCTATTGGCCATTGGTATCTGCAGGTTCAACACCTGCACATTTAACCAACGATGATTCAGAAACATTTGAGGGAAGAAAAATGAACCCATACTGAACCAGGATAAACATCAGCAACTATTTACATAGCATTAAACATAGAAATGACTGAACATGTAGTGCGTGAAGGTTATATGCAAATACTACACCATTGTACATGAAGGATTTGAACATCTATAGATTCTGATGCCCTTAGATGTCCAGGATCCAATCCCTCAGGTACTGAGGAATAACTTATGCATAGTTGTCCCATCCTCTCTTTTTTTTTTTTTTTGGTGGGTGGGGTGGAGGGACTCAAGGCAGGCTTTCTCTGTGTAGCCTTGACTATCCTGGAACTCACTCTGTAGACCAGGCCGGTCTGGTGTGTCATCATCGCCTTGTGTTTCTCATTTTCTTCGTAGAAAATAATCAAAAGCTCGGGATGTAGCTCGGTGGTAGAACACTTGGGTAGCCCTAGTGAAGCTTTTTGGCAGACTCTCAGCCCAAGCTCATTATTGGCATTAGAGAGACTCTGACAATAAATAGCACCAGGGGCTGTTGAAGAGGGTTTCAAATAAAAATTGTTACTAGGGTTTTCTGTATTATTCTCCCAAAACTTTTATCTATTAACTGTAGGGTTTTTTTTTTGACCTACATTATCAGTTCTCATTAAGGATAATTATCCATCAGTTTGTAGTTCCATGAGTTGAGCTGCAAGGCATACCATTTGACCTATTAATATAATTTTATTAAGTGATTTCCTACTAATAGAATTTATATAGGCGTTTTTCGCCTTAAATATTTACATGTCTAGAAAACATTTTGAATTTACAGGTGACTTTTTGTTTGTTTTTTTGAAACAAGGTCTTAAACAGTAGCCTAGTCTTGCCTTGAACTTATAGTAATCTTCTGCCTGGGCTCTCCAGAACTAGGCTTATAGCTGTCAATAAGTACTACTTTTTAAACACATACTTGTTATTTTATGTGTATGTATGGGCACTTGAGCCAACACATGATACAGTCAGGTGACAGCTAATAAGGAGTCGGTTCCCTGTGTGGGGTCTGAGGATTGAACTCAGGTTATTAGTCATGGCAGCAAGCACCTTCCACCTGCTGAGCCGTTTTAACAGTGCAGATACTCTTTTTTTACTAGGCAGCACTGGCTGTCCTGGAACTCAGTAGGTAGACCAGGCTGGCCACAAACTCAGAGATCTGCCTACCCCTGCCTCCTGAGTGCACCACTACACTTGGCTATCCCAGATATTAAGATAAATCTAATGTGTATTACAATAATTAAAATTATTAGCTGTGGAGTCTGAGAAATACAATTTTGTGCTCCAAGTCTGATACTTTTTTAAGTTGACTAATTTAAAAAAAAAATTAGTTCTTTGTTTGACAGTGCATACCTGTGGTACTAGAGTTACGAGGCTGGGACATAATGATCTATTGAGCCCTCAAGTTCAGGACCAACCTGGGAAGTTTAGTGAGACACCCCCCCCATCTCAAACAAACAGACTAAGCTGTTGGTGATTATTAAATGAAATGAAGTATTTAATGCACTTAGCACTGATCATTTTGTATTCGAATTGATCAGTAAATGCACTAGGGATAATTCCAGCAGTTGGGAGGCAAAAGCAGACTGATCACTATGAGTTCAAGGCCGGACTGGTCCAAATAGAGAATTCCATGCCTGCCAGGGCCACATAGTGAGACCTTTTCTCAAAAAAACAAAAAACAAGCTAATCAAAATAGCATTATGGAACTTTCTTTTACTGGTCACTCACTGTTTGTCTAATAGACTTGAGCCCAGGATTCAGTCCCCGGTACTACAAGGTGGGGAAGGACAGTTTTATTTTTAGTGTGAATATGGGAAAGTAGGTTACTAATATTCTATGGATGAGTATGAGAATTGTTTCAGGCATTTAAAAGTATTACCATCTTTTTAAATATTTTGTGACTTACAAAGAGTAATGTGTATTTATATTTATGTTGAAAATAATAGATACATAAAAACTATGTATATAAGTTAAATCATAAAAAGCATTGCTAATATAGTGAGAAACCAGAAAGCTTTGACTTGGAGTAGATAATTATATCTCACTACCTTGAAACTTTTTACAAAGATGAAATGACATTGAGTCTGTCTTGGATAAACTTGGATATGTGATTGTGTTAGCAGCATAGTAAGTGCAGAAACAAACTATAACTTGAAATGTGATTCAGTTCTGTAGTTTTGTGTGTGTGTATATGTGTGTGTGTGTGTGTGTGTGTGTGTGGTTTTTCAAGACGGGTTTCTCTGTGTAGCACCTTTAGCTGTCCCAGAGTTAGCTCTTGTAGACATGGGCTGGCCTTGAACTCCCAGAGATCCATCCACCTGCCTCTGCTTCCCAAGTGCTGGGATTAAAGGTATGCACCACCACTGTCCGACTGTAAAAACATATTTTTAGAAAAAAAAAATCTAGCTAAAAAAATGTTAGTAATCTCTGGGTGTCTTGCTTTGTTTTGTTTGTAGTTTGAAGATTAGATTCATAAATACTAGACAAGGAATCTGGCCACCTCTGTCTCCCATTTTTGAGTGAGGTTATTGGAAGTAATTTCCTTTTACAATTTCTGAGTAGGTATTACTTTGGTGAGTTAAGATGTGGGTGGATATTAGCTTTGCCTTCACATCATCTGAATATTTAAAGATACCTAACTGCTTTGGTACATACCTGTGTACCTAGCTACTGAGAAGGCAGAGATAAGAGGACCGATGGGCCCACGATTTCAAGACTAATATGAGCAATATGGTGAGATGACCCTCCCCCCATCTCAAATGTGGTTTTTTTGCTTTTGTTTTTGTGCGCTGTTTTTTGAGACAAGGGTTTCTCTGTGTAGTCCTGGTTGTCCTGGAACTCACTTTGTAGACTAAGCTAGCCTCGAACTCAGAGATCTGCCTGCCTCTGTCTCCCGAGTTCTGGGATTAAAGGTGTGCTCCAGCCTTCTGTCTCAGAAGTATTTTATGTAAGCAGAGGAAAATAAATAATGACTGACAAGATCTTAATAATAGAACACTTGGTAATAATATAACACTTGAAGGGAATTAGATCTTAAGAACTTTGAATATCCTTATTTTGGTGATGATTGTGCTATTTTGAGATTTTAAAATCATTGATAAAGCAAGGATGATGGAATTTTAATTCATTTCATCGACAGCTTTATTTTATTAATTCATTTTAAAGTTAGTTTTATTTTGTGTGTATGAGTGTTGTATGGATGTGTACTCCATATGTGCCCGGTGCTCAGAAAGGCCAGAAGAGGGCACTAGATCCCTGTGGAACTGAAGTTACTGTTGGTTGTGAGCACACGTGGTGGGTGGTGGTTAAGGCAGCAAGTTTATTTTTTGTATTTGTGTTTCAGTGTAAATTTATCCATGACCTGCTACAGGATGTTTGGCTTTTTATATGGGTGCTTGGGTTCAAATCTTAGAATTCTTTATTTCTTCATGAACAGTTCAGTGAAATTCTGTTAGTAAAATGTGGCAGGTGTGTTGAGTTGCCATTAATTATGTTTCTAAAGTCATAGGAGTTTTTTAAACTGATACGGATTTTTAAGAGGATTTTTGACCTACATTATCAGTTCTCATTAAGGATAATTATCCATCAGTTTGTAGTTCCATGAGTTGAGCTGCAAGGCATACCATTTGACCTGTTAATATAATTTTATTAAGTGATTTCCTACTAATAGAATTTATATAGGAGTTTTTCCCCTTAAATATTTACATTTCTAGAAAACACTTGAGATTTTGTGGGATGTATAGTCTTATTACAAACTACCTGACTTTGCCATTGAGCACAAAAAATAGTCTTCAACTGACAACAAAAACTTTCAAGGAAATTTAAGTGAATATAACTGTATTATACACAGTGGACTCTGACCAGTCCCCAAGTGCAGACCTAAGCTCACAGTCCTCTTTCAAATCTTTTGCAGAAAAGAAGCGACTGTTTGAAATGAAAAGGAAGCTTCACTACAATGAAGGACTGAATATTAAATTAGCTAGACAGTTAATTTCAAAAGACCTGCATGATGATGACGATGATGAAGAAATGTCAGAGACTGCAGATGGAGACAACATGAATATTGAAGAGTCAAATCAAGGTCAGGTGCTGTAACCGTGTCACTCGGCCTGTGCTGCTCTATGCCTAAGATAGTGTGCTTCCTTTGCTGGAGCTTCTGGAATTCTTCAGGAAATTATGTCAGTGTTTCTACAGTTTTAATCCTTGGGTTCAGTTTCAAAATAAATTTATGCCTAAAATTAATTTGTTTAAAACCATATTTTTTATTTGTTTGGCTTTAAAGATATTTTGCTTGACTATATGAAGTCATGTTTTTTTTTTTAACAAGAACATCTAAATTAAAAGTTTAAAGCATTTTACTTGTTTTTGTTTTGTTTTGTAGTGTTGAAAGTTGAACCCAGGGCCTCACTCATACTATTAGAAATCATTTAAAGAAAGCAGCTTTTGTTTTTTATTGGGGAGTGTTGTTTGTGGGTATTTTATGTGGGGTTTGGTTTTGGTAGGATGGTCTTGTCCTGTGACACAGCTGGCCTTGAAATCACAGCAGTCTTCCTGTCTCAGTCTGTACTCTTCCAAGTACTGGGATAACAAACATGAACTGCCATGTTTTGCTCAAAAAACGTGTTTTTTTGTGTAACATGAGGGGCTGTTTGTTTGTTGGGTGTTTCTGTCCCGCCCAGTACCCCACAGCCGGCAAGCCCAAAGAAAATCACACAAAGATTAGTTATAAAGTTAGTTATAAAGCTGATTGGCCCATTAGGTCTAGCCTCTTTCTGGCTAACTCTCACATCTTGATTAACCCATTTTTCTGATCTATTTTAGCCATGTGGCTCAGTACCTTTTTCAGCTGGCAGATCACATCCTGCTGCTTCGGTGATCTGGGCAGGAGTGGCAGGAATCAACCTCCTCCTCCCCAGAATTCTCCTGCTCTCCTTGCATTATTTCCACTTCCTGTCTGGTTTTCCCACCTACACCTCCTGCCTGGCCAATCAGCATTTATTTAAAACATGATTGACAGAATACAGACAATTCTCCCACACCATTTTTGTATGGAAGATTTGTTTTGACATTCCTGTTGATACAAAAAGTACGTCATCTTTGCAGTGTTGCTGCTATATTTTTTGTTTTGACTACTTTTTTTGTTTTCTTTTTTCCCCCTTAAATTTAAATTGAGATAGAACCAAGCTGTGAAGCCGACAAGAACTTCACTCCACTCTACCTCCCTCAGCCTCCAAACGCTGGGTTCCAAGTGCCCACCATCACATCCAACTTTTTTTTTAATGTCCATTTCTTTAAGTCTTAGACTACTTTCTGCAGCCTAGCAATTATAGTCATAGGGAATATATTTTATTTCATTTGTTTTTGAGGTGCAGGATCAAACCCAGGGCCTTACATATACCTACCACTGAAGTATATACCCCAGCCCCTAGTTCTTGTCATTTGTTATTCTGTGTTTAACAAAGGTGAGCCAGGTATGGTAGCACATATCTGTAATTCAGCACTAGTGTTGACTCCAGGATTGCTGTGAGTTCAGGCCAGCCTGGATTAATAGAGCATGGCCTGTCTCAAAAAAATGCAGTGACTGTTATGTCCATCTGTGATTGAAGATGTTATATGTATTCACGACCTTTTCTTGTGCTCGTTTGTTTGTTTGTTGTGGTAGTGTAATTTATCTGTGGTGCTTAAACTGATTCAAGTAAATAGTTGTTATATTTTAATGCTTACTATGGAATAGTAATTCTGTGATATGAAATAGTAAGTCATTGTCTCATTACAGTGTAGGATTACAATATTTAACTTGAACAAACTACATCCTAGTAGCCATCAAATCTTTCTCTTCCTATTATCTATTTTCAATTGATGAAATACTAGGGACTGAGGTGTACTTCAGTGGTAGAGCACTTGCAAACATACAATGTCTCCTAATTGCCCTGACGTCTTTGTTTCCCACTCCAGCCCCTTAAGTAATTTCTCATCAGCTTCCTTCAGACTTTCACTTTGCTGCCAGCTCTTCTGTGCAATAACAAGTTAGGAACATTCCTCATTTGCTGCTGAAATTCTTCCCCCAACTCAACACAAGGACTAAAGAATAAAGAAAAATCAATCTTAATCTCTCTTTTCTCCCACTGCCTCTCTCCATAGCTTTTTTCCCCCAGAAACATTTTTAATTGATTGTTGGAGAATTTTACATGTATTTTGGTTGTATCTACTCCCCAGGTCTTTGAACTCCTCCCATACTACCTCCAGCCACACACATTCCCAACTTAATGTCCTCTCAACCCACAGAACCCAGTTCATGCTACCGGCATGTGCATAAGTGTAGGGTCATCCACTGAAACGTGGGCAACATCTGAAGAAAGCTGACTCCCCCAGCAGCCATCAACTGCCAATGTGGGGAGTTTGTGACCCCCTCCTCCATGCACACTGGGATGTTGACTGGCTTGATGTTAGCACACAACCACAGCTCTGAGTTCCTGGGTATGATGGCTTTGTCATGTCCAGAAGACACTATTCACAGCAGTCTCCCTAGCTTTTGGTTCTTGCCAGTATGCTTCTGTGTTCCCTGAGCCTTGAGGGAGACAAAGATGTCACTTTTAGGGCTAGCCTCTGGCCAGTTGTGGGTGTCTGTACTAAGCACTGCTACATAAGGAAGTTTCTCTGATGACAATTAGGGTGCACTATCTGTATCTAATGGCTCTTGAAAATTAGCTTTTCTTCATCTCTGCTTATAAAACATTAAACTTCATAGACTATATATAGAGAGAGATTATTTTCCCGGGCAAGTATACTAGAATATAAAGTTTTGTATTAGTTTCTGAGTTTTCTGAAGTAGAAACTAAAGTACCCTCACATAGGAGTATAACTCTCATGGCATCATAAGAGTGCACAAGGATGGTTGAAAACAAGTTTCTCATCTATTCTTCGGGTCTTAACACTTCTTAACCAAAAGCCCCATGTTCTGTAAAACTTACTACTTTTTAAACATGAGCAGTTTCCTTCATCTACCCTTTTGCTTCATGCCTCCATTTGTTTCTAAAGTTAGTATTGTATAATTGCCAGGTGATGTGAATTTTTTAGTATCAAATAATTGGAGCTGTTAAACAGCTTTCCTCCTACGATTACTCACACCAGCGTCCATTCTGAACCCATTTGTCCTGTCTCCACATACATTCCTACCTTTATAATGTTTAATGGTATGTTTAGGGTCTTTCAAATCCGTCTAAAATAGCCTACATGAAGCACACCTTACTGATTTATTAAAGTTTTTATATTTGCTTATTAGCCATGCCAGGGAAAGAGTGATTAAAATCAGGTAATTTCAGAGTTGGTCATAGTTTTTCTTTGCTTTAATAAGTATCTGAAGAGACCAGTTAAAGAGGATTGGAGGAAGGGGTTCACAGTGTCAGAGTTTTCTGTCACCATGGGCCTGTGGTGAGGCAAAGTGCATCCTGGTGACCAGGAAGCCAGGAGGGCCAGAGCACAGTGTAGCCACTGAGACAGTGTCCTGTTCCTCTAGCTTGAGCTCTTTCTCCTTTCTAGTACTTCTCAAGTAGAATCGACCCTCAGCACATGAGCCTGTAGGCAATTCATATTCAAACCGTAATAGCAAATTATACTGATTTTTTTTTCTCCTTTTATCTTTGCAGGATCTACTGCAAGTGGCCATCTGCAAAACAAATCACAAAGTTCATAAAAGAAATGTGTTCAGCAATGCAGTCATTTGTCAAATACAAACCTTGTTACTATACTACACTGCTTCTTGTTCTCTACAATTCGTGACTTATGTACCAAAATACACACCAGTTATATATTGCCAAGAATTAAGTGATAACCATAGAGACTGGTTAGATGGACAATGCCTAATTAATGCATATATTCGTGTGCCTCATATTTCACCAGAAATACAGTGTAATGTCATTAGTCCAAAACTGCTTTACTTTTGTAAGAACACTGGTTAATTTGTATATGATATTATATAGCTTTTTATGCTTTAGATATTAAATAATGTCATTGGGGGAAACTAATTTATTTTTGTCACTTCTAGATGATGGTACCTCTTATAAAATGTTTGGAGAGTAGTTTGATGTTTTTTCTTTTAATCAAAAGCCTATTGGTACAGTGGGATATATAGGTGGATAAATATTTAGGCAGAAAGATATTTTTTAACATTTATCTTTAGCTTATTTTGGCTAATTGAGAAAGTGTTACTGTTCATTTTCTGATTGATGACCTTTAAAATTCCTGATTTTCTCTGTTCTCAGAAGGAAAGGAATGAAATCTTTTCCATTCAAACTGGTTTCCCCCACTCCCAACCACACTCGAATAAATTACCAGGTTAAAGTTGCACTGACTTCTGCTCTGCTTGTTTTGGTAGGCTGGGCAGACTTCAGATGAGGTTTTGAATAGTGTGTGCTAGCTCAGCGTTCCCTTTATTTATACACCTGTCTGAACCTGCTCTTGTTTCCTACTCCCGTCTGCTTATATACATACAACTGTAAAGATTGTTGTGGGATGGCAAAGGCTGTTGGACGCGAGAAACTCTTCTCTCATACTCTGTCATTTGCTGCAGTAATGAATTCTCACTTTGACATCTGCTAGTTTTAAACATGAAGGAAATAAATGAAGTATGCATACCACAGCAGGGCAGCTAAGCAGCCTGATCTCTGTACGTCTGATTGACAGCTTGGTCAGGAAATTGCTAATAGTTCATTTCACTTTAGACCTTAGAAAACTATTAACTTAGGCTTTTTTGCACGATGAAAACTTTTTATGTAATCAGAATATGATTGTTCCTGAATGTACAGACAGAATTATGCCTGAACATTTTTAAATTGAAAGATCTGGAGGAGTCCCTGCTTTAAGAGAATATGATAATACACACTATAACAGATGGACTTGATTCCTCGAACATGGTAGAAATTATTTGGATTTTTTTTTTTCCCCTGAGAAGAAAAATATAGTTCCTGTGTGTCTTAGTTTAGTGATGATTTCCTTTGTGGTCATTTATTTGTATTGTAAGTTTTTGGTAGCACCAAATGAATCTGTTATATGACAGACTTTTAAAATAACTTCTGTATATTATATATATGAAATGGCTTTTATTCAGCAGCTATCTTCCACTTTCAATTTATGGAACTATGATGTCAAAATAAAAAGAAGTGGGGAGAGTCTTTGCTGTTAGAAGAATATGCTTATTTGGAATGTCTTTTTTCTTTTTTTAATGGGATCAAACCAGAGTAGTTCTGAAATGTTAGTACAATATTCTAACTTAACATTTTAACTAGTGAGCCACTGGTGTACACACTAAGAAATGTATACCTCATCTTTGTAAATTAAGCCTGTTTGTGGGGTGTGGAAATTCAGTCTATATATGTGTGTGTGAATATGTTCATGTACCCAGACCTCTGCTTTTAGTTTTTATCTTTTTGTGTTCCTTTCAAATTATTGTTTTATTATTGTGTGTGTCGGCATGGGGGGCGGCTATGATGTAATTTTGTGCACCACTTGCATGCAGTACCTATGGGAACCAAAGAAAGGTGTCTGTCAGATCCCCTGGAACTGGAGTTACAGAAAGTTATGATTTCCCATGCGGGTGTAGGGAATTGAACCCAGGTCCTGGAAGAGCATCCTCCAATGAGTGCCCTTAATTACTGAGCCATCTCTCCAGCCTCTCCCTCCTATTGTGTACTTATACTCTATTTCTGTGAAAGTAGCCTATTGTACAGTGAAGAAAAGGTAAGACGTAAACATCTGATTCTTAGTGTTTTCTATAAACTTTCCTAAAACTTAAAGTCACAAGTAAGATTTCTGGTTTCACAAAGGCGATCCTGTTCAGAGGAGTATGATAGGCCTACTATAGTAGCATGTCTGTAGGATTTCAGGTAGTCAAATACAACTGAATAAGTGTTCCCCCAGGACATCAGAGAGATGGCTCACTTAGTAGAGTTCTTGCTGTGCAGGCACGAGGACCTGAGCTTGGATCCCAGCACTCAAAGGCTACATATGGCCATACATGTCCAATTCTAGAGCTAGGGAGGCAGAGATAGCTGGATCCCTGGAACTTGCTGTTCAACCAGCATAGCTGAATCAGTGAGGACCCTGTCTCAGAAAATAGGGTTGAAGAGGACACCTAATGTCCATCTATGGACTCCACGAGTGTGTGCATCAGAACATGGAGACACAGAGTACTTCATCAGATCTTTAGTTGTAATTGACATTTTAGGGGACTGTTGAAAACAGTGAATTTTTATAGGCTAAAGATGGTGTTGAAGGGGGCGAGTATCTGCCTAGTATGTTTAAAGTCCTGGGTTTGGTTCCCCATCATCAATGGAATGGTGGTTGGGTCTGGGCCCATACGATGACTTCAGTGGGTCAAAAAATTTGTCACATAAACCTGAGTTTGATATCCAGAAAACCAACTCTCAAAAATTATCCTCTGACCTCCACACATATGCCATGGCATGCAGCCTGCCTGCTGGTGTGTGTGTGTGTGTGTGTGTGTGTGTGTGTGTGTGTGTCTGTCACATGTAAGCACATGCTTGTACTTGATACTACTGGATGTGTACTTTTGTAAATTTTTTTAGATTGTATTTTTACCTTCTATACTTAACACTTTTGTATCACCCCAAGTAATCATTAACTCATCACAAAGTCAGTGGGAACAGTAGTTTAAAACATGAGCCAGGTAGTATAAATGATCGTTAATTTAAGAACTTAAGTTGAAGTGTAGAGCAAAATGCCATTTCCCCCTAAACTTCATTTTTAAATATTTCCCCTTTATTGGAATGCACTATACATATTTTAATGGATATAATATGAAATTGGCCTGTGTGTAGATTTTTTGTTTGTTTTTGAGACAGGGTTTCTCTATGTGGCCCTAGCTGTCCAGGAGGCCAGCTACTCTGGAGGCCAGGCTAGCCTCTAACTCAGAGATCCATCTGCATCTGCCTCCCAAGTACTGAGGTTTAAAGGCATGCACCACTACCACCAGCACCCACCGTGGCTAGATTTTATTTTCTTTTTAACCAGCTGTCTCCATTAAGCAAGTATTGTAGATACCTGGGTTGATCTTGGAGTTCAGTTTAGAAATGATACCAGGAGCTGGGCATGCTGTTACTGCCAGCTACTTGGGAGGTTGAGGTGGAGGATCACAAGTTCAAAGCTAACCTGGGCAACAGAGTGAGACTATTATTGAGAACCTGTTTGCTCTTGACCAGCATTGTATTAGGCCCTTATTTCTAATCTTTAAAACCACAGGAAATGGGCATTCCACCTTTCACAAGTGAGGAAGATGCTCTCACTAAAGCTGTTCAGTTTCAGACTCTTACCTGCAAAATGGCAGGTTTCAGATCCAGGGTTAACCAGATTTTATGGTCTTTGGTCTACGCATTTTAGATACAGACAGTGCATTTTTAGCATTTGTGCCTTACTATTTGTAAGGCACCTTAGGTTCCTGGTGCATACTATCTCCTTTGGAGGTATATTCCTCAAATAGTTTTGAGTTTCTGTTTTGTTTGTGTGGGTGGGCATGTGTGCTTATGAGTTCAGATGCTTATTCACATAGACATGTGTGCACGTAGAGACCAGAGGTCAGTTGTGTCAGTTAGTCTTCAGGAGCCATCTGGGTCACTGATCTGAATCTCAGAGTAGGTTTCCTGGCCAGTGAGTCCCAGGAGATTTGCCTGTCTCTGCTAGAGCTGGGCTTAAATAGAGTATGCTTAGTGCCCTCCCTCCTCTCCTTAATATTGGTTCTATGGCTCAACCTCGGGTGTGGTTGCAAGTCAAGTATTTCACCCACTGGAGGTGGTTAATCCTGGTTTTTTAAAATCTGGATTTAAAAATAATAATCTCCCTGATTTTTTTAAAATCTGGATTTAAAAATAATAATCTCCCTGATTTTTTTAAAATCTGAAAAACAAAAAGGTTCTTTAATAGGCTTGTATATGGGAGTAGTTAGGAAAATTGGAAGCATGTATGCTTGGTGCTGCACATGTCTACATGCACTAACTGATGGTTGTGTTCCACATACTTTTAAATTTTAAATCACTCAGAACTGTGCACACCCCCCCCCCATAGAATCAGTATTTTAAATTCAGGTTTCCTGCTGGTTTACAGAAACTAACATGTGGGCTGGAGAGATGGCTCAGCAGATAAGAGCACTTGCTGTTCTTGCAGATACCCAGGTTAAATTCCCGGCACTTGTGATGGATGGCTCACAACCATCTGTAACTCCAGTTTGGGGAATGTTGACACCCTCTTCTGGAAAGCTACCCAGACACAGGGTACACAGACAAAATACCCATATGTGTAAGATTTTTTTTAAAAAAAAAAATGTTAAACCAGCAGTTCCCAGTGTGTTCCATCAAATTTTCATCCCACAAGATGTCCCATAAAAAGGGTTCCATGAGCAGATAAAGTTTGCACATGCTAAATATTTTCTCCTATAGACCCTTGGAAAATTATATATTACCATATTGTAGGGACTGGGATAGAACTTAATGGTAGGACTCCTGTTTAACTTGTTAAAGCCCTAAGTTCATTCTCTAGAATTAGAAAGAAAGAAAGCAAAGAAAGGTGCATAAGACTTATCTTGTGATTCTGGTATGGGAAGCCGAAGCCAAATTTCAAAACCAGCCTGGGTTCCATACTGGGGTCCTGCCTCAAACACCTTTGATGAGTCTTGACTAAAGGAATTTCTTTAAAAATAAATGCCACACTTTTCAAATCCTTTTTACAAAAGCCACCCTACCTTGTCTATCAGATAACATCCCAAGAAGGGCCTGGGCTCTTACTGGGTTTTATAGAAGATGAAACTTTAGAATTGGCTTTTATGTAGTTTGCCAAATGTAAGACTAACTTTCTGTAACTTAGGCAAGAAAACTGTAAAATGAGTTTCTAGGAAGGAAGGGTGATCACTGGCTGGCCATAGCCATAGTAGTTTAGTACAGTGCAGTTTACTGGGAAAGCATGGAACGGCCAGTGTCTGTGACTGGTGCTCCTAAGCTCGGTTAGTAGGACTTTTAGCTTCTATATTTTAAATTTGCATTTGACTCATCTTGGTTTTTATTTGAGGCATTATTGGGGGAGGTAATGATAAGACTAGGTAAGTGAGGGTGGATTTGGCAACTGTTTAGTCATGATTTTGTCCCAGCTGCCCAACCTGAAATTATTTTCAGTGTGAGTCTGCCAAGTATTTCAGTTGTTAGCAATGGGCGTTACTGAAATTGGAAGAGAGTGAACTTCTGTAAGTTTTTAATCCCTCTTAATTTGTGACAGTGTTGACTATAAATAGATTGTGCAGGCTGATTTTTTGATATCAATATCATTTAATTTCACTTTAAGCAA